AATCCTCTGTGCAGGACAAACACTGGAGCAATCGGCTGATGACTCCAGTGTTTGTAAATAACTGGGGACACATAGTACTATGTGTCCCCAGTTATAAATGAATGAACAGGATGTGATTTACATCACGTCCTGTTCATGCATGAGTTTCTCAATGGGGAGAAGCACTCTGTACAGAGGCTCCTCCCCATTCAGAAACTGCTTGATAAAAAAATATGTTCCATTCATTTAGAATAGAGGCTGCAGAAAAAGAGATTGAGGACTTTGTGTCCTCAATTTCTTTTTCTATTTTAACCCTTTCGCTGCCAAGCCCTCCCGAACATTTTTCAAATCAGCTGGACAAGCCATTTTTGACTAAAATCAGTATCAGCGACACAAACAAAAATAATTTCTGACTAAGTCTAAAAGATAAAACTGTATTGAGTTAATAAATAACAAATATTTGCTAATTTGAAATTGCGCCTTTTTGCGAAAAGGTAAAAAAATTACGGTACGCAAAACTGTAAATAAGCAACTTATGTTAAAAAAAAATGTCACGCTGTGTTGGTGTTTGTGTTGTGATAAAATGATACAGGCGTATATTTATTGCAACACAAAGATCACAACGCATGGCAATGCGTCACAAAGCTTTGCCATGCGCTGCCACAGTTAATTTAATTTTTTTTAAAGAAAAAAATACATTAAAAAAATCATGCACTGCGATGCGTTCTAACAACGCACTGCAGCGCATGTGCATGGCGTACACCTCAATATGTGTATGCTATGTGGGGGGAGGGAGGGGTTGTGCTTTTTTTATTTTATTTTTTTGTACACATTTTTTTATTTTATTTTTTTTTTACAGGAGGGGATTGATTGTGGAGCTGGACCTAAATTGTTTCATAGCTAACAATTCGTTTTTGTCTATCCAGTATGATAATAAGGATATTCGTACATATATGTATAAACATATTGACGGATCATGAGTATATTTGAAGATATCCGATTTTCTATTTATTGGAGTCTTTCGTTTTTACATTATAAGGGAAACATAAAAAATTACCGTTGTAGCATTTTTGTCTATATTACAACTTTTTATACCTAATTATTGTATATTATTTTTTCAATATTAGGTTCTCTTTTCCTTTAGGATTTCATTATATATAAACCTAGGTTATGTATGTTATTTATTTAATTATGTTTTTTTTATATACATGTACTTCAACAATTGGGGTTTAAAAATACGGATGGATCAGATTAAATAGAATAATTTTTAATATTATATCATATATATTATTCAATACAAATTCACTATGTGTAATATACTTACCCGGCCGCGTTCCCAGAGCGATGTCTGGCGCTGCCCACTCCCTCGGCATCACGTTATTCCTCCTCAGCTTTCCAAATAAAGCCGGGAGATTTCAAATGCTCGGCGTCTTAGTATGAGACGGCTACCTCCTCTGTGTCTCGTACACATGTCTTTGCTCTGCCCTGTATTCTCAGAGACCACAGCAACCTGTTGGGATTACAGGGTGAGATCCTCTCTGCTTAAGGAAGACAGTCACCCTGCAGCCACTTTCTTGCACTTATCCACCAACGCAGCAATAGCAGAAGAGATCCTGGGATTCTGTTGCTCTTAAAACTACGGTACACTGAATTGAAAAGTGTGCTAGCTTCAACCTACTGGCGTTCCAAGGGATCCACTTTTGCTCCAAGGACTCTCTCACCGTCAACCCCAGGAGGTTCCTCTGAGGAGGCAACTCAACCAATCGCAAGTATTCATTAAGTAATTTCTTTGAACTGAGTTAAATTGTTCCCCTACTTATAGACTGAGCCATCTGGCGATAATTACTATTTCAGAATGTATATGGACTATGCCTGTATGATGTAATACAGCTAAATATACTTTAAACTAATCTCTTTTTTTATACTGAACTGAATAAGTTGCTGTCAACCAGTCAAAATTGGAAATCTCCTTCTATCCACAGCTGTGATCCATTAAACGTTCGTGACGGGAGACGTACACTGTACGTCCTGCCACAAAGGGACCAAATGACTCGTCGCGTACACTGTACATGACGAGTTATTTGCTGCACTAGAAGGCTGGTAACCGCTGAGAATCAGCGGTTACCATTCATTAATGTATGCCTCAGTTTCAAGGCATCCATTAATGAAAGTGTTAACCTTTTTCAGACACCCGATACCTTAATATCGGGTGTCTGAGAGTCAAAGCAGAGCGGGCACACATGCCGGCTTTTGCCGGCATTCTGACAGCTCGTATGGATCGAGAGATATCTCTCTCAAGCTATACTGGCTTTTTTTTTTCTTTCACTTTCAGGATAGATACATAATGTATCTATTCCAGAAAGAAGAATGTTTCAGTTTTCTGATGGTTGTTGGAACAATCAGAAAACTAGTGACAGCTGAATCCTGAACTGCTGCAGGATCAGTGTCACTAACTTATTATCGGCTGTTCTGAAGTTTGACGCAGCCTGATAATAACCAAAAATTTATTAAATTTATCAAGCATTAATAGTGAGATTAATTCACAATGACTGCTTGATATAATTAAATAAAATAAAATTTTTAAGTTTAAAAAAAATAGTAAAGTGTAAAAAAAAGGTGATAAGGGCTTACATTTATTAGATTGAGGGATGAATCGCATATATATTATGTTATATATTTATGTGTGGTTCATTAAAAACCGAAATTGGCACTACTAAAGAATCAATGTATCCGTTTATTGCGTTTAAAGCAAAGTAGAGATACATCTAGTGGTCTTTTTTGAATATTGCAATATGAAAGAAAACACATTTTCCTATTAACCGGGGGTTTGAACTGATAACTAAGGAATGTACTGACACCAGCATGCAACCCCACCCTGAGAAAGTCACATGATGAAACGCGTTGGTGGGTGGACTTGCATGCTGAAGTCTCTGCTATACAGATAACAACAGACTGGTTTATGGAATATACTTGTTAACGGGGATTCTTGCCTATTTGAAAGTGATTGTTTCGTTATACCTTTGTGAGTGTTTTTAATCAATTTTAAAACTATTATGCTATGATTGTCTTTTAAAATCCTTTATGACAAACTAATGAGCGTATAATAAAGAGGAGGAGGTGACCAGGAGTTGGAATCTTGGGATGGTTGGATGCAAAAACCAGAAAGCCTACAAAAACTAACTGCACTATGACACTATTAGACCATTAATCTTAATGGTCCACCGGTTCTGGTGAGTGCCCCCTTTGAAACATTTGTGAGAGAACACAGACAGGAGTATTCATCACTAAGAACACTTCTTTTACTAGAGATATTGTTTAAGGGTTTTTTACATAATGAAAAAAAACACTTATATTAACATTTCTTATTTTACTAGAGACATTGTTTTAGATTTTTATTTAAACATTAGGATATTGTTCTTAGCGCTGAGCATTTCGTATATAATATTTTTGGAAAAGCTACTTGTTTTTTTTGCACAGCTGCTGTTGGGGGAATATTTTATAGAGGGTAGCATCGAAGATCTTTCTTAGATTATTTAAGGCTCATATTCACTTTCTGGCTGCTGATTCCTCCACTAGCCAGGAACATGGCTTTCTGTCAGCCACACTTGGTTGGTTCAGTCCACACAGGCCTGGTCACACAGAAAGTCTTCCGGAAACCACTACCTTGACAGCAGGGGCTGATACAGGAGCCCTAGTCTGGGCATCAATCTACAGGTTACACGCACCAACTTGAGCTTACTGTTCCAGCAGAACTAGATTACGCACACTGAAGCACTGACTGCCTACAGGCTCTTTCCAGTGCTCAGATGGATCCCTGTTTCTCTGGACACCCTTTCCTTGCCAGCATTACCAGTGTTGTTCACCACTTTTACAGTGATATCCAGTGCTACTATCACAATGTGTGTGTGTATATATATATTTATATTAAAAACATTTTTAACACAATTATATCTTGATTTCACCGTTATACGTGGTATCCAAAATAATATTTATTATGTTATCTATCTACCCCCTTTTACCTTTTTATATATGGCTGTGATATGGTTTCTTACATTTGTTTATCACCCTGGTGATGGGCATATATTAATACCCTGAAATGTGTTGGCTACGTTTAAAAAAATCAAATAATGCATCTTTGAATAAAAACATTCATCCATCCATTCCTTTATATGGCTTTGCCTTTCTGGATTGGAGAATAGAATTCACCACATAGTCCTCCCTAGTGTGGCACTCCCCCCACTTCACTGCACACCTTAATTATACATTCTTCTCCTGTATGTTGCTACTTTTTCTAATTATGATTAGTTGTGCCTCAACTGGGGTGCACAAATCAGAGCAAGTTTACACATGTAGGACATTAGCAGTCAGGGAGCAAACTTAGTCCAAGTGTGCATGCACAATCAGAGTGAACGCACCCAAATAGCATGCACGGTCAGAGTGTGTGCATAGAACAGCCACTATCCAGTGGGATATCAACAATGTGAGTTCAACTGATTTGCTTGTGTTCCTTATTGTATTAGGTGATAATGTGTGCTGCACTTACACAAGAGCATTAAGGAGTACGGAACAATTGTTTAGACTGGTGTTGTATGCTGTTTGTGTGTGTGATCTGGACTGCAAACAAATATACCACAGCATCTGGTTTACTGTTTGGTACACTTCACAATTAGGTAAAGCTGTGTGTATTAGCTTAATCACTGTTATGCTGAGAGTTACTGTAGTGATGTGCTGGTTCCAGCTGACGCTTCCCATCGACCAGTGCATAGCAGTATAACAAAAAGCATTGATGATCATGTGACTCCTTTTCTGCTCCAGTTTTAAAGTAGAAATCCTCAGAGAAATGTTAAAATAAGGCAGAAAGCTGTACAATGGGCAATATAGATGGCTGCATACTGGAGATCTGTTTTCAATTGTACAGTACTTAGATTTATAAGCATGTTTAGAAATTCATATACTTATACCTGATTTCATATAATTTAGAATTATAGATTTGTGTTTTTTCATATAAAAGCTGAACAAACCTTTTCAGTACACAAGAATCAAAAGGAAAAAAGCTGTCCAATGGGTTAGTGCATGACTGAACAGAGGTGCCACAAGTGTTGCTTCTTATGATAGGTATCATCTGCCTGTTGTTTCTCTCTATGATAGTGTAGCAAAACACTAGTTGATATTTCCTGGAAAAAAACAGAAGACAATAAACTAAAGACTATATTCCCAGAAAATGCAGATTAGTAATCAAACAAAAGACTTTAAACTGTGATACTACTGCAAATGTGGACCAGAAACTATTGTAGAAGCATAAGCCACAAACATACAGGGTAAAACATAGCATCTGGTATAGAACTCAAACCTGAGAAAACAGAAGCCTGTCTGATCAAAAAGGTGTTCAATAGACCCTTTTGAAGCCCATTAAAAAAAAACATTCTTTATTTTTATCTTTGTACATACATGCCAAAATATACATAACATTTCTTTTTTACAATACATAACTGTTGAAAGAAAACAAGAAAGAAAACTGACAATATATAGCAGTGAGATATTGTAATAAAGTAACACAACACAATTATTTGAGATATTATCCCAGGGTGGCCGAGATATGGCCTTGCCTAAAGTGATATTAAAGTCAAAAAGATTTAAAATAGGGATGCACCGAAATTTCGGGCGCAGAAACATATCGGCCAAAAATTGCACTTTTGGCTAAATGCCGAAAGTCCGAATATTTTGGCTGAACTAGCGGTGCATCCCTCCTTTCTCTCCTCCCTGCTGGGACACAGAGAGAAACTGTCAGAGGAGGCAAATCAGTGCGGGGGAGGAGAGCGCTGTGAGCGGCCGGCGTCTCTCTGCCCACACCGCTCAGCCTCCTGTGAGAGATCAGGAGAGCAGCTGTGTGTGGAGCGGAGACCGCTTACATTAGTAACCCCTCCTCAATAAGGTATTGCTGAGCAAAATGCTTTAGAGGGAAGCATATTTTTTCCGGGTGAGGCCAGTCACCATAAGCTGTATAAGCACATATAATTTTCAGCAGGGGTGAACGCAGGGTGTTCTAAAGCAAGGTATCCGTGAACCACATCAATATGGTATTCTATGTGTAGGAGGGATATCTGCAGTCTCTGGTCTCCTTGAATCAGACATTTTACCATTTTCATCTTGCTCTTTGTGCCAAAGGCCAAAGCACTCCAAGGTCAGAGATGGGCTCTGAGGGAGGTCAGAGATGGGCTCTGAGGGAGGTCAGAGATGGGAGAAGATAAAGGGGCCACTTGATAGTCAGTACATGAATGCTGTCATAGTGGCTGAGAACTCAGCCACTATGAGTAGGAGGTGTGCCAGAAATAAATAAGAAGGCCTCTGAGGAGGGAAGAGACTCCTCCACAGCCTGATGATCAGGACTAATCAGGACTTTAGGTGAGATGCTGGGCACCACCCTTGAGCTGTCTGCCAAATGTGAACTGGCTGGGCCCGCTGACCCATTCCCTCTAAACCTATGATCTGCCATGTCAAGTGAGAGCAATCCCAATGAAGGTACTCAAAAAACCTCTGTGGTTTACAGGACCAATACTTCTTAGAAATTAGGCCTTCTAAAGCCTTAAAAAAAAGAGAGGGGGATTCATTAGCTTAGGGCAGGGGTTGCAAACCTCCGGCCCTCCAGCTGTGGTGGAACTACAAATCCCATGAGGCATTGCAAGATTCACATAGCCACAGACATGGCTCCAGAAGAGAGATGCATCATGGGATTTGTAGTTTCACCACAGCTGGAGGGCCGGAGGTTTGCTACCCCTGGCTTAGGGGAGTGAGGGATTCCTTAAAGAACTGGTGACAGTTCTTTAAGGAATGGGAGAAAGTATCAAACGGCTGGACATAGAAATGTTCTATCAGGATTAGAGGTGCACCGAAATTTTGAAACCAAAAATTTTAAAAATGTCAGGCCAAAACCCAAAATATTTTTTTTCCCAACCTTTTTAAATATACAAACATATTTATTTTTTTATTTTTTTTCTAAACTTTTTTTAAATATTTTTTTTTTTTACTTTACTTTACTGAAATATCAGGGGTTTAAAATAGAAAAAGAGATTAAGGACACAGAGTCAATCTCATATAATGAGTGTTTCTGTTCATTCATAACTTGTTGAGATAGTATGTTTACTATATCCACAATCATGAAAGAACAGGAAGTGATGTATAGCAGATTTATTCATAAATGGGGACACAGTAAACATACTATGTCATCAATTATTTACAAGCAGTCAGCAATCAGCTTGTACCCGATCTCCATCCCGACTCGTTGTCACAGGATGCAGAGCGGGCGGTGCGGGTAGGAAAGCTTGGCTATTTTATCAGCTGAGTCCTCCCCGTAACGCTGACTCGGCCTCCTGTGACAGCTGTCTCCACCCCCACACTTCCTCTCTATCCTGATTAGTCAGGAGGAGAGAAACTGTCAGAGGAGGCTGAGCGGAGTGGGGAGGAGAGCGTGGCCGGCATGTTACAGGAGGCCGGGCTCTCCTCGCGCATAGCTAAATCTCCTGTGACATGCTGGCCGCGCTCTCCTCCCTGCACTGCTCGGCCTCCTCTGACAGTTTCTCTCCTTCCTGCTGGATGCTGCGATGTGTCAGAGGGGACACAGAGCAGTGCCCAACGGAGAAGAGAGAAACCATTTTCAGCCGATATGTTTCGCCGATATGACAGAAGATGTCATCAAACTGTTGGTTTGGAAAAAAGCGATGACGTGCATGTCTGTGAAAGCTCAGCTCTTTGCATGTGTTGCGCATATATATGTGTATGCGCCGATCGCTGTCTGTTTCCTCCACCCGCTTCTTGGAGCCCGGCAGCTCGCTTTCAGGCCCCATTAGCGGCGCGCTGCCGGGTGTGCGAGGAGGCGTGGCCAGGGCCGAGGGAGAAGCGGCCCGGCCGTCGGAGGCTGCGGTGCC